TTCTTCTTCTTCTTCTTCTTCTTCTTCTTCTCCTTCTCCTTCTCCTTCTTATAGATTTGTGTTAGATCTGTGGCTGTGGGGGCAGGTGGGCGGTGCGGTGGTGGACTGCTGGTGAGACTGAGGCAGAGATAGGCCGGCGATGACGTTGGTGCAGCGGTGGGGCAGCAGTGGGTCAGGGGTAGCAGTGGGGCGGATCTCTGCTTGGAGATTTGTGATAGTGATATGGATATTGTTCCGTATTGGCAGGGCAGGGCTGGTAAAAGGAGAGGGAGAAGGAGGGCATTTCAGACAAATTACACCCATATTCAACACCCACTAAAAATGAGGAAAAGTCAAAGTAAGAAGTTTATTCCCGGACTAGATTTTTAAAAATATTGAGGTATAAATCCAAATTACAAATCCGATCTAAAGGGTCGAGATTTTGCAGAATCCTGTTCTCTTCTTCCGCACGCACGAACACGTTTCATCTTCTCCATCTTCATCACCTTCAATCCTTCACTCCATCTTCAAGGTAAGGTCTTATCTATTGTTTAACAATTCATTTTTCTCTCTGGTTATCAATAATTTATTCAAATCAAGGTAAATTCAAACATAATTTTGGAGTTTTCTTTACCGAATTTTTTTTAATGTATTTCAAACCCTAATTTCCGACCCAGACCATGAATCACCTTCGAGTCTAAATTAATCATTTTGGAAAATGAATGGCTTCGAGTTTTCACCTACCCTTCGAGTCTCTAATATTTTCACCTTCGAGTAAACACTGACATATGCTTAGAAGTTAATGGTTGTTTTCACCTACCCTCCATTTTTAGAAGGAATTTTATTCATAGGTTCTGTTTAATTTTTTTTCTTGTAAATATGGATTACTTTGTCTGAGAGTGAAAAAATAATGATTTTTTTTATTACCGAACATATTATGGAATAGCAATGATGTCATCATTAGTCAAATTTTTTTTAACAGATTCAATCAAAATCTGTTTGATATATATTTTTACAAATGACAAAAAAATATGGATAAAAAAATGACGATTTTTGATGTACTGCTCTGGCATAGTAAAATTTTACAAAATCATCTCTAGATATTTTGTTATCTCTAGGGTGAATAGCACTCAGTAATGGTTAAAGTGAACTATGGATTTTGCATTTTATATCCTTAGTAAATAGGGAGTACTATTTGCTTTCTGATTTGTTTTTCTTTATGAATTGTTTCTCTTTATGATTTGTTTTGCATCTTATTGTTTCTCTTTATGATTTCTTTTGTCATCATCTAGTTTCATAAATATCAAATAGTATTGTTCTTTATAATGTATTGTTAACTATTGTAAAACATAGTAATATCATCATGGGTGATCAACAACAAAGTACCAAAAAAGGAGGTTTTGAGCAATTGACAACCAAAGAGAGTGATGCACTATTAGAGTTCATGCTAGATGTTGCCGCTCGAGGATCGCATGATAATAGTGACATTTTTTCTAAGCAAACTGTGGAACAAAGGATACTTCCTGTTCTTAATAAAAAAAACTTGGGTGTCAGAAGAACTACCTCAATTACCAAAGCCGATTGAAGAAACATGGGATGATTAGTTTAAGGTAAGCTTTCTTAGTACTAAATGAAAAATTATTCTAATAAATGACTTTTTTGAAAGATCTAATGCAATAACAAATTTATGATTTATGTTTTTTGTATAGGCTTATCCAAAGGATAGCATTGAATTACGTTATGGAACATTTCGGGATTATGAGGACTTGAAAATTGCAATTGGAAATGGTGTAGTTGTTGAGAAAAACTCAATGGTGTAGTTGTTGGGAAATTCCACCTATTCACTCCATATCACCACTTCAATTTGAAATTCCACCTATATACAAGACGTGTTCTTGAAGATGTCACATGAAGAGCGGCTTAATTGGATAGGTCACAAAATGAGAAGATAAAATGATAAGATGAATGAAAGAGTTATGTGACTTTATTTTGAATGTTTTATCTTTTATGTAGTGACTTTATTTTGATTGTGAGTTTAGAATACTATTGGTTTATTAAGTTATTTTAAAATATGTTTGGCTTACATTGTTGTTATATGGTTGGTGTTGAGCTCAATATATTATTTTATGCTAATAAATTTATGATAATAATACTAATAATAATGTATTAAAAAAATAATTTGTTTTCATTTATTAAATTGTTTTTAAAGTTTTTGGCCAATTTCACAAGTAATAATTAATGTTAGAATAATGTATGAATTTTTAAAATAACTCAAATTTAAATATAAGTAATCCATGAATTATAAACAATCTATATGAATCTTATAAAATCCTGCTCATAAAATGGAAAATGCTAGAGTCACAAACATATAGTTCACAAACTTCACAAAGTTGCCTTTTGTGGATTTTAAATTAAAATATCTTTTATTATTTGAGTGCATCTTATTTCTAGGAAAGTGTTAAAAAGGCAAGTTTGTGAATTTTGTGAACTTCTTGTTTGTGACTCTAGCATTACTCTCATAAAATACATCAAAATCAATCTAACTCTACACAGACTAAAAATAGTCCTATTGATTTTATAGAATCTATGGATTATAAACAATTTATCAGAATCTTTTAAAATCATGATTGAATATACCCCTTAGATAGTGACAACATCAGTCATGAAGCAAACAAGCATATAATTATCACACATACATTACCACAAAGGGATCTACAGCTTTATTTATTTAAAAGAAGACAAAGAAGAAGAAGAAATTACACAGAGATGATTGAAAGACCAAGAGGCGAAGCCCTGTGGACGTGGAAATCTCCAAGTCGCCCCTTCTTCTGCACTTTGGGTAGCCAATTAAATCCATTCTCAGAAACCCTCTCATTAGTCCATTGCCCTCTTTACGACTGCTGGTCTCTCCCTGCTAGCTTCACCATCAGTAGAAATGGGAGAAACTAAGCTTTCTACATAGGTTTCGGCTTCAAGAATGTCACCAAAGTTGGTAATCTCGGGATAGCGAAGTGCTTGAGTTTTTGGATCATAGACGACGATGTTTGAATATCCAGACACCAATCCAACTTCACCATTGTTGGCTATGCCTAATAATGGAGAGGAATATGATTGGTACAAAGGATATTCATCCGTAGGTGGAATTGCTACAATCTTAGTCCAGGACTCAACCACTCCATATTCCCTCATGACCCATACGTCCAACTGATACTTCTCATACCGGCACATCACACAGAGATCACCACAAAGTACTCCCAATGTCAATTCAGACGGTCTTTCTCCATAATCCGGCTTTCCTACCTTTCCAAAGGCTCCTTTAGACAAGTCTAGTGAAAAAATTTCCAAGCTGCCAGTATCACTATCATAATCAGGATACATTGCCCAATGGATCTTACCATTGACAAACTTACCCGGACCGTTCGACAAAACCCCACCCTTACAATCCCCAATTATCCTCCAGGAATCATTTCTCAAACTATACACCATAACCACTGCTGCGAAAGATGGAGAAAACACCAACCACCTTGTAATCATCATTCAACTCGTCATACCCGAACCCGTAAACAAAGTGGAACATGGCCTTCAACTCAATGCCCGCATCGGGCAAGTTCTTGATTTTCCGGGTGGCCGGGTTCCATATAAACATAGCTCTCTCTTCAATAGCAATGCAAACCAACCCATTGCAGGAACCAGCAAACCAGACTAAATTGTATGGGATGCTGCTCAAGGGATAATGGACCTCGAACGCCTCCGTCACGGGACTGGACATCACAGACTTGAGGGAGCATTGCTTCATGGTGAATTGGGGCAGCCCAACCAAAGTGCCCAGAATCTTGTGGTCGGCATAATCCCTCCTAGAAGAGGACACGTTTAGGTGCAATTTCACAAAATCGGAGCTGGAAATCAGATGGCGCCATGATTTGGATACGCACCGGAAGCCTTGAGAGGATTTCTAAAAGAATCTCTGGAAGAAGCGGAGGCAAGGCGAGGTCTGATTCTGGGGTAGACGACGACTGGGTGGAGGTGTCGGGGATTATTTGGTTTTCAAGATTGCTCCTTTTGCCTCTCTTTCGGCGTTGTGGGGAGTGACCCGGAGACTTTAATTGCCTCCATTAGAGCACAGATTGATGTTCCAGGGTTTCCGAGATATATATATATATATATATATATATATATATATATATATATATATATATATATTTATTTATTTATTTATTTATTTATTTATAAGGAAATAGATTTTTATTTAAAGAAAAAGTAGTACAAGGGTGGGTGGCCAACCCAACAAACTGGCCAAACTAAAAGACACCAAGTACTAAAGCATGGTTTCACAAACAAACAAATGAAAACCGGCCAAGCTAATAAAAACAAGATATCATGGTTGTGATTTGGCGTTTAATTTTAGCGTTTAATTTTAGTTATTGTTGACTCTTTGTTATTAATGGTTATTTGAATGTTGTTTATTGTATAATTGAAAAAATCAGAGCGCAAAATTGAGGACAAGAGGAGATTGATAAAGGTACAATGCTACAGTGTGGAGGGAACTGCCAATTTCTACACGAGGCCTATTGAAGGATTAACGGTCCTGATTGATTTGGACACCCAAGAAGTCCTTGAAATCTCATATGAAGGGAAGACCATCCCCGTCCCGAAGGCCGCCAACACGGAGTACCGCTACTCCGCTCGGAGCGTCGGTGCCAGAGCGGCTGAGCTTAACCTGAAACCGATTTCCATCGAGCAGCCGATGGGCCCGAGTTTCACGGTGGACGGCCATTTGGTCCGTTGGGCGAAATGGGAATTTCACGCGAAGCCCGACCCGAGGGTAAATTAACTGGTGGTAGGACAAATTAAATCAAAAGGGTAAGGAGAAAGAAAAGAAAGAAGAAGAAGAATGAAGAATCTACTATCTACTATCTACCACGGAGTGTATCTTCCTATTTACAACAGCAGCAGGAAAAGTTTCCCGCTCACTTGTGCTATTAGAATACGACGTCGGTTGGGATATGTGTATTAAAAAACCGCAGCCCAAGTCCTAAACTCCTAACCAGTAACCACCCACTAGACCCATCACAGGGTAATAATCAATCTGGCGATGGACGGTATCGACCGGAAGGAAGCATAGAAGACAGAGAGAAGGGAGCAACTGGAGAAAGAAGGANGATTGATGACATCAAAATGTTAAGGATGAGATGAATGAAGCTATCCAATATAATGTTTTGGAAGAAGATTCTGCCAGGTCTAAGAATTATCCCTCAATATACTGACTTTGCCAAATATTTTACCTAAACCTAAAATCCTCCATCTTTTGTTTGATTCGTGGGAAACATTAACATCATCTATGTTCACCAAGCCAACAGTTTTTGGCTTCACATTTAAGGATATCCTAAGTGTGAACTTTAAATTCTACCCCCCAAGCTTTGACTCATGAACTCAAACATCGCAGTGATGGATTGATTAAATATTCTATTCATTGCTATTAAGATACAAAAAATAGATTCTTCGTATATTAAGATTCTTAAGTTTGATATGGAATTAAACAACTACAATTTTGTTATCTTCATCAAACAAAAGTCTATTTTTTTTCTCTTTCAAAATCTGCAGGTTGAAACCCAAAATGCAGTAGAAAAAGCATGGAAAAATCCGCAAAAAAGTAGGACCACTTTTTATTTCTACGCGTAATCCTTGCGCATGGGCCATGCTAATATTCTATGTATCATTCCAATTACAAATAATGGGAAACCGGCGGCCGAGAAATTAAGGTCAAATTTTTGATTTTTTTTATTTTCAAGTTCTTTTAGGCTTGAGGAAGAGGCAAATATTAGAGAAGAAGTTGATGGACAAAGGAGTGAAAGGACCATAAGACTTCAAAGGTAAACCCAAATGTTGCTGCCAAACAGAGGCATGTAATCAAATTGAGAAATTTAAGCAACATACATCACTTCTCTATATTTTTATTTTTGTGTAGAATCTGATGAGAAAAAAGACTAAAGAAGATACATGAGAAAAAACTACAGACTTACAAACAATGTAACAGTAAAAGCAACATAGTAAGCCTCACATACTTATTTCTCTCTCTTTCTCTCTCTCTCTATAGAATCTGAGTATTACCACTCTCCCACTAAAAATATATTAGAGTATTTGGTTACAAAACATTACATTGCACTATGACATGTCAAACTTTAGTGTAAACTATTAGCTCATCTCCTTAGCTTCTTCAAATCTCATGTGTGTGTGTGTGTGTGATTTATGTTTTCTTAAAAAGTTTGTTTACATTTTAATATATGTCATTTTTCAAAAGAAGGCATTCTTCAAAATAAGAAGAAAAATTACATGCTAAATATATAAAATGTCTATTCTGGCAAATGGCTATGTTAGTCTTTAATGAAAAATGTTATGATATATAAAAAAACAGAGCCTCAAAGTTTCAGCATGATTT